TAAAAATAAGTAATGTATCTGCCACCCACAAGTATGAGAGCACTGACACTACCTAGCAGTGGATGGTGGTAGGTGCAAGCAGGTTGGCAAAGCTGTACATTACTACACACCTGTGAGATGCTATTGAGACTGGCTTAGATTTCACCTCACAGGGATGTGTCACATGATTATCGTCATACTCTCTGATGCACATCGCCTCGACCTCAACAGAGTCATATCAAAATGTTCACTTTTAATCTCCATGAATTACCTCCAACTTCCTTTCTAAGAAAAAAATATACAGGCATGAGACCCTCAATACAATAAACAAAAATAAAATAAATTGTGTTTGTGTGTGTGTGTGTTCAATAACAATACTGTGACTAGCCGAGGACTCGAACCTTGTTGCTTTGGCCCGAAAATCATATACGCCTCTAACCCACAGGACCACTCAATCCTACAAGAATCAGGCTCCCCACGACTCGGTGTTTGTCCTTGATACGATGACAACAGTGTGTGGTGCTCCAAAGATAATTTCATTCTCTCCCTGTTTGGTGATACCTAAGCCTCCACAAGCATAATGTTATATTAACTGTAACCACGAACAAATGGTATTTAATCAAAAACAACACTGCGACTAGCCGAGGACTCTAGAACCCATGTTGTTGTGGCCTTGCCTCAGGTGAGCTAGTTGATTAAAATACCACTTGTACGTGTTTACAATTTTTATTTATATATACAGTGGACCCATTGACCCCCGCATAACCGTCGGCATCACATAACTACAATCCGAATACCTGCGCGCTTTATCGCCAAACATTTGCCTCCAATACCGCTCAAAAACCCGCTCACCGCTCTTCGTCCGAGACGCATCCAAATGTGCGCCCTATAGCCACCCTCACATGGCTGCCGGTGGCATTGTTGTATTCAGCCAGCCTCCGGGTAACATCCAGCATACAATCGGACACATTTCGTATTATTACAGTGTTTTTTGGTGATTTATATCTGCAAATAAGTGACCATGGGCCGCAAGAAAGCTCTAGTCCAAACCCTACACAATAAAGGGTGAGAATTACTAGAAAGACGAAGAAAAGAATTATTGATAAGTAGAAAAGTGAGTGCGTGTCCGCCGACCTGGTCCAGGTTGTACAAGAAACCCAATCAAACCATCGCTACTAATGTGGGCAACAGAAAGGCAATCAAGAAGCTGTTTCTTGCCACAAGGTTTAACTAGTGTTTTTCGAAACAGAGATCGCAAGTGAATGGAAGATGTTGAAGACCTTATTGGGTGGATAAATGAAAAAGAGATAGCAGGAGATAGCCTCTCGCACAAGCGATCATAATCGAAAAGAGCTAGGAAGTTGCATGAGATTTAATTAAACAAAATGCCTGCAACTAGTGGATGATGTGAGGTGAATTTTAAGGCCAGCAAAGGTTGGTTCGAGAAGATTTAAGAAGCCTTATGGCCATACATCGTTGATAAGGCATGTGAGGCTGCCAGTTCGGACCTACAAAGGCAGCTGAAAAATATGTGCAGGAATTCAATGAGTAACATAGACAGAGATGGACTGAAAACCTGAACACGTGTTTTAATTGTGATGAAACAGGCCTGTTTAGAAGAAAATGCCAAGCAGGACCCTCATTACTCAGGAGGAAAAGCACTCCCAGGACATAAGCCTATGAAAGACAGCTTACTTTTTGAATGTGTTTCCCAATGGCTACAGGTGATTGCAAAGTGAAAGCTTTCAGTAGTTATCATCTCTGAAACGCCCAGACCAATCAGCAAAAGAATGTCCTCAAGGAGAATTGTGTGAGCTGTTTGGAGGGCAAACAGAAAGGCATGGGTCACTAGGACTTTTTTCTATGACTGTTTACACAAGCTGGGCCCCTTCCCCCCCAATGTGAAAGAATTAACCTAACTGAAAAGAAAATTAGACACTTAAGTGCCTCCTGGTGTTAGACAATGCCCCTGGTCATCCTATAGACGTGGGCAGAGCGACTTATGGGACATGAAATTCATTAAGTGAAAATTTAATGCCTCCTAATACCATACCACTCCTCCCTGCAGCCCATGGACCCCAGGTTATTGCAAACTCAAAAAACTGTACCAAAAGCTCTGTATGAAAGTGCTGTTGTAGTGACATCAGAAAACTCAACTGACACGAAGAAGATTTGGAGAAGCACTTTAATATCCTCAATTGTGTAAACCTTATAGGAAGGCTTGGAAGGAATTGACCTAAGAAACCTTGAAATCTGCTTGAAGTAACTGTGGCCAGAATGTGTAGACAAAAGGGAGTTTGAAGGGATGGGACTAACCCTGAGAGGATTATGCCAGTTGGGAATCCATTGTGGGCCATTCGGAAATCCTTGGGGTGGAGGTTTAGTGGGAGGATTGGAAGAGTTGGTGGAGAGACAATGAAGAACTAACCACTGAATGAGCTGACAGATCAACTTCAACAGCAAGAGGCCCACACTGAGGAAACTGGTTCAGAGAGGGAGAGAGAACTGAAGAAGTTGCCCCTACGACAAAGATTAAGGAAATCTGTGCAAAGTGGCTTGAAGTGCAACCTTCATGATGAAAATCACCCCCCCCTCACACAGCTATTGCAAGCCGTGTTGGCAACCTGTACACTGACAATGTTGTGAAATCCCTTTAGGAAGACATAAAGGAAACGAGAGGTACAGGCACTATGGACAGATATGTTGTGCGAAGAAGTCCAGTGACTCGAAGCTAGTCCTAGTGGCATTAAAAGAAGGAAGTAACCCCCAGAAAACGGTCTCGACAACTCAATCCTAAGGAAGGGGATTTCCCCTTCTAGAAACACTAACACTCTCTCTCTTCCCCTCCTCCCATCCCATCTATCATCACCAAAACTCACTCGAAAGTAAGTGTCATGTAATTGTGCATGCCTTTTTCAGTTTGGTGTGTATTAAAATAACATTTTCATGTGGTAAAAATTTTTTTTTTCATACTTTTGGGTGACATGCACGGATTAATTGATTTCCCATTTTTCCTATTATTCTGGGGAAAATTCATCCGCATAACGATAACTTTCGCTAACAATGACTCTCATGAACGGATAAATATCGTTATGTGGGTGTCCCCACGTAATATAGTTAAAGGAAGAGAGAGAGGGAGCTGGCTCGTAATTCCAGTGTTGGCTCGTAACCCAGAGCAAAATATCGACCCAGGGGACGGCCGTATCTCAAAAAACTCGTACGGTTTTGGGACAGCTTGTAAGTCAAGGTTCCACTGTTTGAGATATTTTGAGATACGAGCCATCCCTGGTTGAATATTTGCTCTCAGTTACGAGCCAACATTTGAGTTACAAGCCAGCTCCCTCTCTCTCTTCCCCTTTAACCTATATACAGTGGACACCCACATAACGATATTAATCCGTTCATGAGAGCTCATTGTTATGCGAAATTATCGTTAAGCGGATGAAAATATTTCCCCCATAAGAAATAATGGAAATCAAATTAATCCGTGCAAGACACCCAAAAGTATGAAAAAAAAAATTTTTACCACATGAAATGTTAATTTTAATACACACAAACTGAAAAAGGCATGCACAATTACATGACCACTTACCTTTATTGAAGATTTAGGTGATGATTGATGGGATGGGAGGATGGGAGAGAGAGTGTATTTAGTGTTTAGAAGGGGAATCCCCTTCCATTAAGACTTGGAGGAGTCGAGTCCTTTTTCTGTTACTATCCCTTCTTTTAAATGCACACAGGACCACTTCATATCCACTGGACTTCATTTCTCACACATATTCTGGTCCAAAGTGGCCTGTACCTCTCGTTCCTTTAAAACTTCCCATAGTGTTTTCACAACATTGTCCGTGTACAGGTTTGCCAACACGGCCTTTTTTTTTTTGCAATAGCTTGATGAGGGGATTTCATCCATGAGGTCTGCACTTCAAGCCCACTTTGCACAGATTTTCCTTAATCTTTGTAGTAGGCAACTTCTTCAGTTTCTCTCTCCCCTCCTCTGAACCAGTTTCTCAGGTGTGGCCTCTTGCTGTTGAAGTTGATCTTTCACTCATCAGTGGGTTAGTTCTTCATTGTCCTCCTCCACCAACATCCACATCCTCCCCACTAACCTCCAACCCCAAGGACTTTCCAATGCCACAATGGATTCCTCAACTGGCATAATCCTCTCAGGGTTAGCCTCAAACCCTTCAAAATCCCATTTGTCTACACATTCTGGCCACAGTTTTCATCCAAGCAGAGTTCAAGGCTTTTAGTCACCCCTCCCAAGCCTTACCTATAAAGGGTTTACACAATTGAGATATTAAAGTGCCTCTCCAAAACTCTCTTCGAGTCAGTTGAGTTTCTGAGGTCACTACAAAGCACCTTTCACCAGACTTTTGTGTTAAAGTTTTTTTGAAGTTTGCAATAACCTGCTGGTCCACGGGCGCAGGTGAGGAGTGG